GCTGTTCTTGTTCCTTCTTATATTGACAGTTCAGAGATTGTGAGAAGGGCATGGAAGAGGTACAATCTCAGCTTGGGACTTGGCCTCAATAAAGTTGCTGGCAAAGTCTTTAGAATTCGTCGCCTTCGAAACCTTAAAATTGTAAACGTACAGTTTTCTTATTTACATTAGTATGTCTTAAACTGTTGGGTAATTGTGGATTCAAAACAAGCTAATTAGGCCTAGAACTAAGGCCCAATTTCAATAGGTTTTTGCTAAACACTTATATACATATATATGTTTGCTTTGCCATCAAAATGGGAGTAGTGTTGTTGCACACACGTTGAGCTGCGGCCGAGAGAAGTTGCAAAACCCTTTTTTTTGGTGTTGTTGCATCAAAAGAAAAAAGGTGGCAATAGTGGTGTTTGGTTGGTAGAGGAAGAAAAGAGAACTTGATCTGTAGAGCGTTGTCGGCAGCCCGTTATCTTGAGGTTAGTGAGGTTTTTGATTATGTATTCCTAAGTAGCTATTGTCATAATGCTTAGAAGCTAGGTGGCCATTGTTGTAGCATCTAGAGAGAGCTTTGTAGAGCGTTTGTGAGGTCCATTGTATTTATCCCAAAATCATAGTAGAACCCATTGTTGCGGAAGACTAGACGTAGTCCATAGTTGGGGTGAACCATTATAAATTGCTTGTGTCGTTTTCTGTGCTTTCCCCATTATTCTTAGTATTGTGTGTGACTTAGTTTTCACTGACGAACTGTGGAAAGGGAAAATATTATTGGTGAGTAAATTTTCCCAATAAATGATATCAGATCTAGGTTTTCAGAGTCATGGGAGACAAATATCAAGCACACCATTACTATGAAGGAGTTCTGAAGTTCAGTAGAGAGAATTTCAGTTTTTGGAAGATGCAAGTAAAGGATCTTCTTACGTGCAAGAAGATACACAAGACTTTGGGGGAGAGACCAGCGGATATGACAGACAAAGCTTGGAATGAGATGGACGAGCAAACCGTTGCAAATATCAAAATGGCATTATCAATGGGGTATGCAGTCTCGTGGCGAAAGAGACGACTGCAAAAGAGTTGTTGAAGGCCTTGCAAGACTGGTATGAAAAACCTTCTGCCAATACAAAAATATTTCTATGGACGAAGTATTTTAACATCCACATGGAGGAGGGAACCTCGGTGAATTCCCACATTAATGAGCTCACCGATATCTTGAACAAATTAGAAAGGATGAGTGTCAAGATTGAGGAGGAGGTGAAAGCTATGAGGCTGTTGACGTATTTGCCTGACAGTTGGGAGACGATGAAGACCGCGGTATCGAATTCGCTAGGAGAAAATAGCTTGAAATTTTCAACTATTTGTGATGCCGCCTTATCTGAGGAAGCGTGGAGAAAAGGAAAAATGTTTGTAACTACTTCAGGGGCAGAAAATGGGATTGAATCAGCTTTGGTAGCTCAGTTTAAGGGGGAGAGCAAGATGAAGTACAACGGGAAGCAGCAACATAGGAATAATAGGGGTAGTGAGAGTTCCAGTGGAGAAGTTGAATGTTTTTACTGTCATAAGAAGGGCCACTTCAAGAAACACTGCAGGAAGTTTAAAGAGGATTAGGAAAGTGAGGACACTCTATATTACGTGTCAACGGAGGTGTTAGCTTGTATTGAATGTAACAAAACACATGTAGACCGGTCATCAGAGTGGGTAGTGGACAGTGCAGTTTCGGTGCATGTAGCTTCAGACAGGAGTTGGTTCACGTCCTTTACTGCAGGAAATCATGGCGAGGTGAGGATGGGAAATGAGAAACTCTCTAAGATCAGAGGAATTGAAGATGTGCATCTGAGGACTGACAGTGGGACTAAGTTAATACTGCATGATGTCAGATATGTACCCAATTTCAGGATAACTTTGATATCAGTGGGGAAGCTGGATGACGAAGGCTACAGAAGTGAGTTTCCAGAGAACAAAAGGAAACTCATGAGAGGATCCAAGGTAGTGGTTGTTGGCCACAGAAAAGCTTCAGTGTATGTGTTGAGGTTTGGTGTTGCCAGAAGATCAGAGAGACATGTTATGCACAGGGCTGCAGATAGTTCAAGAGGAGACTTGAAAGAACTAGCAGCATTGACAGTCGGAACAGATCAGAAGAATCTGCCATCAGTTCAAGTATAACAGCTGGGAAGTAGAGGAAAGGGAAAAGGGGAACAACTCAGTGAGGTGTTCGACAGACTGTCAGTTTTGAGCCCCAGTTGTCAGACGGATTAGCGAGCTGATGAAGTCGCGTAGTTGAAAGGGTACATTGAGAAAGACTACAGTTGGTGCTGAGGTCGATGGTGAAGTCTTTAGAGTGGCAATGGACTTGAGTGGGAGTGCCAAGTCATCAGTATAAAAGCTTTCCTGCAAGAGTCGTTGGATGCGAGTGAAGAAGGAAGCGTCATAGACCACTTAGTTCGAGTTAGAGCACGTGGATGTGTCTCTAACGTATGGGAGACAAGACCACGTATGATTACTCAGTCTCAGGACAATCACAGATGGAGCCTTAGTTGGTGCTAAGAAGAAGTTAAAAACTGTCGGTGCAGTGGGAGTTGAACCTTGGTTGGTTCCAAGAGGATGTTGATCAGTTAGAATTTGTTGGTGCAGTCAGAACTGAGTCATGAGGGACACTGTTGTTGCAGTGAGAGGCGATATTGTTGTTTTGTCTCCAAGTGGGAGATTGTTGGGTAATTGTGGATTCAAAACAAGTTAATTGGGCCCAAAACTAAGCCCAATTTCAATAGGATTTTGCTAAACACTTATTTATATATATATATGTTTGCTTTGCCATCAAAATGGGAGTAGTGTTGTTGCACACACATTGAGTTGCAGTCGAGAGAAGTTGCAAAACCCTTTTTCTTTTGGTGTTGTTGCATCAAAAGAAAAAAGGTGGCGGCAATGGTGTTTGGTTGGCAGAGGAAGAAAAAAGAACTTGATTTGTAGAGCGTTGTCGGCAGCCCGTTCTCTTGAGGTTAGTGAGGTTTTTCGTTATGTATTCCTAAGTAGCTATTGTCGTAGTACTTAGAAGCTAGGTGGTCATTGTTGTAGCATCTAGAGAGAGCTTTGTAGAGCGTTTGTGAGGTCCATTTTATTTATCCCAAAATCATAGTAGAACCCGTTGTTGCAGAAGATTGGACGTAGCCCATAGTTGGGGTGAACCAGTATAAATTACTTTGTGTCGTTTTCTGTGCTTTCCCTATTATTCTTAGTATTGTGTGTGACTTAGTTTTCACTGACGAACTGTGTAAGGGAAAAATATTATTGGTGAGTAAATTTTCCCAACATAAACACACTAGAATTTAGTGCAAATTTTTCAAGCCAACGAATGAGGGGAGTATATGGTAACCTATTTGCTTAAGCTTTTATGTTTATTGATATTTTGACTTTTGTTCGTACATAAATTTTTTATATAAAAAGAACCTTGAGGTTCATTTAGTAACTCTCTCATTTAGTAACAATGTTTTACAAATTGTTAATCAGTTCTTATGGGTAACCATCATCTGTGTAATTCTTATCTCATGGCATTTATCCTTTTTGATAACAAATTATTTCTTGAGCATTTATGTTTACTTACATAGCCTCAAATTTGAAATATTCTATTCTATTCTCTGTTATATATTTTTTTTAAATAATTTAATAAAACCTAACATAGATATATATTACATACAAATGAATTTAATTATTTATTTCCATTATAATTTTAACATAACACTTGACGTGTTCATTGGCTGATCAATGTCGGTTTTTGGCGCACAAAATTGTTGTGCGCCAAAAACTTACCATTAAATTTTTATCAGTCGAAAACTTATATTTTCTTACCTTTGTACAGATCGACTAATCGACCTATAATTTGGTCGGTCAGTCTTGATTAGTTTTTGGTATATGCTGAAGGAAGATTCGTGCATGTTCTGGCTGTGTGATTGAAATGCAGAAACGTGAGAGGGAGAATTAGAGATGAAGAAGAGGGAGAGAGATGAAAGAAGAAATGAAAGCGCGGAAACAGGAGAAAGAAGAAAATTTGTGAAAGAAAAAAGAGGAGGGAGAAAAAAGTTTAAACAAATATAGAAAGTAAAAGAAATATGGATATCAAATAGGCAAACAGAAGTGTAAAAAGAAAAAAAATAATATTAAAATACCGCAGAAAATTTATGGCAGGAGAATCATTCTTTCTTCGATCCATTTCTTATAGCATCAGCATTGTATTGAAAATGATGCGTGGTTCATTCATTCCATTGATTGTATAAGTAAAAGGGAGTATGGTATTCCCATAATAGTAGATTTTTTTTTTATCAGCATTCACATGAATACGTGAATGATGTAGTAGGTGCAAATTGCAGTTTTTTTATTAACAAATCGGTTAGTTGGTCATTTTCTTTTATATTGGATGAGCGATCAACCGATTAATCGAATTTTCCTTTGATTCTTCTTTAAACCAATCTACCGACATCGATTTAGTTGGTTTTCATCACTCGAATCAGTTTTCTAGGTATGATTGATCACTTCTAGTAACACTTCACTCACTAAATTTATTGAAATTAGTCATAAATTTGTATTTAGGATTAATTTTCAATGTATATAAATTATTTAAAGCCAACCTAAATATAACTTATGTCATCGATATATCATCAATCATTAAAAAAAAATTTACAGATAAGATTTGAAATTGATCCATTTTTAAAAAGTAGAATAACAAAGCAGACAACAAAAGTAAAAAAAAAAAAGATTTAGAAAATAAAGTTTATAAAGCTTTAAAATGAAGAAAAGCTAGATAAAAAAGTCAGAAGCACCCAACCAAAATAATATTTAAATCGAAATGAAATAATATTAAAAGCTCAAACATCTAAGCGAAATCTAGTCCTAAAATCCTTTTAAAAAAAAAAATCCTAAAATAATTCTATCCAGATTCTTGTCTTGTCCAAAAGATAAAAGGTGAAAAACACGCAGAGAATCCCATTCCTACTTATCCTCTGTCAAAATTTGAAGAGAAAAATCAAAGCAAAAAAAAAAAAAGGTAGATTTCCTCCATAGCCATGAAAACTCCTTATTGGATATAACACTCGCTAGAAACAAACATTTTGCTCAATTTCACCATTTTCCCAACGTGGGTCGATCACAGAATCCACCACAAAACCACCTCAAAAACCCCAACAATCTATCGACAGAAAATGGGATTTTGGCAACGCAAATGCTGCAACTCAATCTTCGGTTGAAGCTTTTCCGCCATGGATTCATGTTCTCGTTTGTCCTTCTGCTCTCCCTTCAACTCTCCACCATTTTCAAGCAACTGTAGTGGCAAAAACAAGTGCAGAAGAGCTTCGTTCGTCCCAGTCTCTGCAATTTCGTATCAGAAATTCGTTCAATTCGCTTTGGATGAAACCAAACTCCATACCCATCTCTGCCCCACCCCTTTGCAGGTAATGGGTATCTAATCCAATTAGTTCTGGATTTGGGTTTTCTGATTATGCTTCACTTGAGCTAATTCTCTAATCTAGTTTGGAAATGCTTCAACAAATTGGCTGTTCTTCTCTTTAGATTGGTATTTTCTCTGTTGAATAGTGTTCTTCAGATTGGTATTTTCTATGTTGAATAGTGTATTTGTGAGAATAGGGATGGTTTCTGCTGTGTTTGTTGTAACCTAAACTTCTTCCCCTCTGTTCTACTATGAGTTGTTGAACAATGAGGTTTTTTCAGGGCATTTCTCTGTCAAGGGTTCTTATTGGTTCTGTGCAAAGAGGTTTATGGATTTGGTTCTGTGCAAAGAGGTTTATGGATTTGTTGCTTTAGATCAGTTTTCTTTTTATAATTAGGAGTTAGGAGCTTTGCTCTCCTATGACCAGAGGCACCGGGTACTAACCTCACCAAAAAGTTCGAACTTGATACCTCTAAGTCAGGATGGCCAGGAGACTCCAAATCCTTAGCAACTTGACCTGTCCCATTGGGAGTTCTACTTCTCATTGTTTAATCTTTTAATGGAAGACTCAGACTAGCGTTGACTCATTCTAGCAAAGTGTTATGAGTTCTTAACTTGTGACAAAATAATGTGTCTTTTGCATCATTTTATCATTTGTCATGCTAAATCAGCCAATATTTGTAAATTAGACCTGTCACACTGATAATGGTATTAATAATATGGCCTAAATAAGATTGGCGAGGCATGCAAGAGGCATCATGTTGGCGGCTGAGGTGCCACAAGTGTGCGGCTGCTTGGCCAGCGAACGTGCTGCTCGGCAGCTAGCTCCGTGCCCTAGGTCGGATGTAACGTGCCACACCTCGCCATTGGGTGAGGGAGAAGACTGTGGGATGAGTCCAACTCGGGGCTTGTCTCAACATTGGTCCTTTGGTCTGATGTAACTGAAACTTTTGGAGTAACTTGAATCATCAACTAAATTTGTAATTTAACCTTTCTTTTTCTTTTTTAGTTATTATCATTTTATGTTTAAAAAAATCTCAATTGTTTATTCCCTATTCATGTTTCTATTTCTTCAAACTTGCACTCTTCTTGCTCAAGAGATTGTCAGATTGGTCTCTTTTTCTTATGAGTTTTTGTAAATCTTTCCATGCTAGTTTATAACAGTTTGTTATTTATATTTTTCTATATAACTTCCGCATATCTTTTTTTCTTAGTTGTTGCAATTCTTGAAGTGTATTTGGTTAAAGTTTTTAAACCCCTACTAATAAAATCTTTTCGAATGGTATGAAGTCAGATACTAATCATTATTTCTACCATCGTAACAATATAACTATTTTTATCTTGCAGGAAAAATATAATTCCATGATTTCCATGGACAAAAAAGCCAAGCTTCAAATGTTATCTTTTCAAGCTCCAAAGATCAGACTTCTTCGCAGTTTGAATATTGAGAGTGAAGCAATGCAGGTTTTACTTCATACTTCAATCTTCCTGGGAAGAATTTTATTTGCCGTGCTTCATTTAGAGTGTTCCTTTTAGGTGAAACACTTTTTATACGAGCACTTTTTTTTTTTTAATAAGAAACAAACTTTTCATTGATGGTCACCTACCTTAGGAACCAATAATTCCTACGTGTTTCTCCGCACCAATATTATTGAAACTACTTTTACCATGTGACCTAACACCAAAACTCCCCAAAATCTTGTCAAACTCGCCCTTCATATAGTTGAAAAATGACTTTCAAGAGAATTAGTATCACTGCTTATGAGGTTTCAGAATAATCTCTGCTCCTAGTTAAATTTTAATAAAGCCATTGTAGAAACTCATTATAAGAATTATTACTGATGCTTATGAGGTTTTAGAATAATTTGAACCAGCTTTCAACAAATTTCTTGATCGCAGTTTATGTAGCTATCTCGAACATAAAACTTAAAACCTTTTGTATCTTTTTTCTCTGGTATGTAAATTGAAAGCCTTAAACTGCTCAAAATTCACTTCAAAACCTGTGTAGGTACAAGTTTGGTAAGCATATTTAGTATCTATGCTCATTTTCTAAGAATTGTTTCTCTTCATTTATGGTGTAGGTCTTGGATTTTGCTGTATTCCCAAAACCAGAATTTGATGTTCCCATATTTTGTGCAAATATTTTCTCTGCTGCAAGTTCAAGTATAGTAGTCCTGTAAGCTTCTTTGAACTTCTGGAGTTTGATAGGAGAAAGTAACCTATAGAATACATAGTCTTTCATTATTTGTATGAGTTCCGATGTACGAAAGTCTACATAAATCATCACATCGTCTATCATGGCATCATGGGAACCAAACTGCTTAAATCCGTCTGTTTCTTATCTGCCACCTATCTATTCATAGATATTGTAGTTCTCCCACACTCGACAGGCTTAGTAAGATACATGGTTGAAAGAAGGTGGACATCGCGCCTTCTGGTTTAGCGAGTTTTCTTGAGTATTTGTTAACTTTGATAAGAGATGAATGACCATGAAAAAGATTAGGATTGATCCTTTAAGTAGGTTTTTTAGAAACCGAAATCGAGCTCAGGTCTTAAAGCAGACCGTACATTCTCTTAGCCTAAATTATTGACTAAAGCTCTTGTTCTTGCTAGAACCTACATTGCATACGATTTACGTCCGCTCGGAACACTAACTAGATTTTTTGCAGGGATCTCAATCCTTTGCATGATGTCATCAGCCAAAGAGATTATAAAGAGAAATACTATGAAAGCTTATTGCATCTTGGAACTAAATATGCTGAGGTGAATGTTTCTTTGTACAACATTAGTTATATTTCTTGTATGACGTTTGGTATAGTCCATTCTAAATTTGATGCTATGATTACTGAAAACAGACTTCCTGCAGCTCTTACCGTGGGGCGGAAAGCTTACAAGCGAATCTTTGAAATTTTTCTCACCGATCGTGATATGGACTAAGTTTCCCTCAACCAGGTCCAAGTACGACATATTATTTTCTGCATTCGTGGATTATTACAAGGTAGATGAAATTAACTAAGTTGCTACTGAATTCAAGCTTTATAGGTATTTGGAAGATTATCTTAAGTAGAACATATCTAATCTTATTTCAATAATGTCACCGAAAAGTTTCAATTTATTTCTAGGCATGGCTTGAGCTCATGAACAATGCTAGGGAGGAAACGAACCCGTCTCGACTTATGGTTAATCGAGAAGCGCAGCATAGGTACCTGTCATGGAGGGTAGAAAAGGTGGTTATCGTTTTCATACTATGCATCTCTTCCTCTCTCCTTTTATTATGTTTCTGTTTTTCAAAAATTTTTCGACTTAGCTCTTAAGATCGAGGGAGAAGCGTTGGTCAGATGGATGTTTCCATAACTTAGCTAGATAGCTACTGAGACTTGAACTTTGGGAGTCATTTTTATTCTTTTTGGTAGTTTCCTCAAAGCTAGAGCTGCAAGATTATTTATGACTAATTATGAGTCTCGTTTTTCTCTACACAACTTCATCTAACTCTCTCTTTTGTTCGAATGTCTGCTGACGTTCTCAATGTAACATTTGCAAAATAGGATCCGGGACACGGTCTTCTAAAGAGATTAATCGGGGAGGCACTTGCAAAGGTAACAAACACGAAAACTGTCAATATTCTTGCATCGTTCAAGATTCATTCTCTCACTTTGCATCTAACCATTAGGATTTGCTGAGAAACTTCCTGTTCAATGGCGTCGACGAGCTCGGAAGCAAAAGATTTCTGGAGTACTTTCCCGAGTACTGCTGTGAAGACGGTACGATAAACAAAAAACGCAGCATGGTTGGGAAGTCTTACGAGCATCGACCTTGGGATAAAAGAGGTGAATTTGTTGGGGACTTGATCAAAACCTGATGTTAGTCTTGGTGCTCTTCCTTGCTGATGCTTTTGGCTCTCTTATTTTTGCTTCTTAGAAATATACTTTAGACTTGTAAAGTGAATTGGTGTAGAGTATTGTGAGAAGTTATAATATAACTATGTAACCTGTAAATTAGACCTAGCTCAAATTTTGCTGTGTTATTTTTTAGTAGTTGGATGCAGTTGAGCAGTAATTGAGGGCGGATTTGTTAACGTTATCATTTTCATTCTCCTTTTCAGTTTTGGAGAAATATAAGTATCTGTATGTTTCTTGTTTTCATTTTTAAAAACTTTTCTAAAATTAGAAATAACAAAATCCAAGTATCTTGTTTTTTTTTTTCGATTTTTTTCGTAACGTGAATAAAAAAGACTTGTAGTTTGAATGTTTGATTTTAAAAATTGATTATCAATTTATCATATAAAATTTTTGTTTTTTTAATTTAAAATTTTGAAAAATAAGAAATAAAAAATAATTACGAGATGCATTTCTATTTATATTTTCAAATAAATAAATTATTAATGTAATTCTATTTTTCTTTATTAAAAAAAATGAAATAGGAAATAAATCTCTATTTATATTTTTAAATAAATAAATTATTAATGCAATTATATTTTTCTTTATTAAAAAAAAGATGAAATAGGAAATAAGAAATAGAAGTGATGCCAAATTGACTTTGAAGAAATCAGGATCTAAACTCATTAAAATTCCATTGATAACTATTTTATTTTTAATTTTCTATTTTATTTTTTTTTTAGTTTTCAAATTATGGTTTAGATTTAAAAATTATTACAAAAATAAATAAAAACCTAAAAAAAACAAGAAAATAGAAGTAATGTTTATGAGCGTAATTTTCAAAAATTAACTAAAAATAAAATAGTTATCAAATGGATTTGATCAATATTTTCGTAGGGCACTCAAAATAATTATAGGCTTGATGAGGACTGGCTTTGCCTTTGTTGAATAAAAGCATGAAATTTCAATTACATAATCCAATCCTCCAACCAACATGAACTTAACTCAACAATAATTGACACTCGTCTTTGACCAAAAAAAGGCACGAAAAGGACATGAAATCAAATCCCATGTTGTACTAAAAAAAATAATCGAATCCTCCCCTCTTCCTCATCACAAATTGAGTTTTGTATCATATTATACAGTTTATGAATTATGAACAAAAATCTATTTTGACTTTTGCCATTACATTTAGAAGTGAAAGAGAAGCAAATCTCAAATGAGAAGTGGAGACTGATATATACATTTTACAGTAGAAAGTGAGATGATGATGAAGAAAACACTGTTATGTCTGAGCAGCTTTGAAGAGTTCACTCCATTTTTGAGGATCATTTCCAGGTCCTTCCCCCTGCATAAATTCCAATAAAAAAAATTAGGATCCTCTATTATCTTTGGGATTAGAGAGAGAGCGCTTATCAAGACTTGACGGTTTGAAAGAAATGTGAAAGAAAATAAAAATGCTACGGCAAACAAAAACTAGCCCCTCAAAATGAGTCCCGACTCACAAACGTACTGGTACTTCAATTCAAAAAAATAAGACCTAACTGATAATTACAAAACAGTTTAGAAATCAATGCTAGTTTCGTTGTCAAAACTGTTTAAGTGACTTGTAAAGTATTAGGACAACCATTCAAGAATTCATGGTTTTTGAAAAAAATAACAATTTTGTTTCTTCTAAAAAATAAGTTGTGCATGAAAAATAAAGTTCAAGATTTTGGTCCTAATTTTGCTTTAGTTCAATTTGGTCCTTCAACTTTTAAAACGTTCATTTCGATTCCTATAATTTCAACTTTGTTCATTTTAATCCTTGTAGTCAAGACATCTGTTTTGATCCTTATACTTTTAAAAAATTGTCATGATCAATTTAGTCCCTCCTTGCAAAATTTTAACACAACTTTCAAACACGGTGAAGTCTTGTAGTATGACTACGTTTTGAAAAATTTAGTGAGTGAAATGTGATTTTTTTTTTGGAATCCGTGTGTCCGAACCAGCTTGCGCGCACCTCAGGTAGGTGGCCACCATGATTTGAACTCATTCCCTCTAAGTCCTTTATTATTTACAAAGGCCGTTATTGACCACTTAAGCCATCCCATGATGGTTTGAGTGAAATGTGATATTAAAATTGTGATCGGAAGAAATGAGATAAAAATAAAAATAAAGGTGCCCAAACCGAACATTTTGAAATTACAGGGACTAAAATGAACAAAAATTGAAAGAACAAAGAACAAAACGGATGTTAAAAAGGTACTGGGATCAAAATGAACCAAGACCAAAATTATGGGTACCAAAATAGTATTTAAACCAAAAAATAATACAGGAAATTAAGAGAAATGACTTTTTTCATAAGAAGTACCCAAACATGTAACTGAATTCTTATCTTAAAAAAACAGAAAACTATTTTAGAAAAAGTTTCTCAAACAGGCCTTCATTCTCAAAGTCATGAACTGCAGCCATCTCAGAAGCTTACCTCAACTGAGTTAATTTCGTAAGCCTGTCCTTCTGTGAAATCAATGTCCAGAGCCTGTATGCAGGCTTCAGCAACCACAATCCTGCTGGCCTCTCCAACAAGTTTGTCACCTGAGATCCACGAGAGGAAAAAAGGGGCATAATTTCAATGCGAATTTGATTATGTTACCTAAGAAGCACGGAACGAGAATACGATGATGGGTATATATTATATGGAAGTATGTTAATGGGAAAGTGTTTGAATATGATCCAATGTCTTTAGATGAAAAGAAAATTCAAAGACCAAATATTTGTCTTAGTTATACACTTGAAAGAAAAGGCTCGAGCCTCTCCATTCAAAATATATCTGGTCAGATCTGCCTATTCCTTTTGTAATTTGATACCATCAATGAAAATTTTTCTTATTAAAAAAAAAATCTGCCTATTCCTATCTGCTCAAATTGTGACTTATCCAAAGTTATAAAAGAGCTAACCGATAGTTTAAGTGCCAAACAAGTCTTATCATATTGATATGACAGAATATCATATCTAAAGTATCAATGCTTCATTAACAGAAACAGAGAAAGAGAAAAAAAAAACATGATTAAGATATAAGCACCCAGCCCCAAACTGCACCCCACTGAATGCTTTATTCCTTCGTAAAAATATTTTTTACTCATTCAGTTCATGATAAGAAGATATTACCTTTTTATGTTCCTCGTTAACCATCACAGTGACTAATTTAGTTCTCTGATAATTTTACAGAGCATCTGGCTACTTGGTTCAAAACTTTTTTAATGATTTTGTTTTACAATATTTTCTCTTCTTTGCAAGCTATTAAAATCAGCAAAAAGTAGTGAAATGAGGCCATAGGATCTATAATTGGTAAATATAATTATGGATAACGAAACTACACCAGAGGAAGGACAATGGGTTCTTCATACCATTCTTGATTCTATAGAGAAGCAATGCAACATGTCATTTTTATATTTGTACCTTGACCAAGGATGACACCACGTCGTTGTCCTGCTGTAGCTTTGAGCAAAGTATTGAGATCATACGAGGTGTATGGTCCATCAGTCAACCTACCAGCTCTGGAACACACATATTTATACATGAAGGAGCAAGAGAGTCAGCTCAATATTGAAAAATTGTATTAAAATGTCTAGCAACAAAACACAAATCCATTAGCTTAAGTAGAATGAAAAGTTCATGCGAACTACGCAGACCTGATTATCGTAAATGGAAGACCTGAGTCACGAAGAAAATCCTCCCCTTGCTTTTTGTATTTGAGAACACCAAAAAGATTCATAATGCTACCAAAATTATGAAGGCAAAAAAAGGACCAATTAGTGGATTGAAGCATAGTTTATACACTTTATTTTAACCTTAAAATTCTGTGTCTATCTTAATTGAGGGACTCCTCTTTAAAAAACCAACGGTGATAGAGACTCCTCTTTAAAAAACCAGCAGTGATGGAGACTCCTCTACTTTCTACAAAAAATTTCAAGTTTTAAACACATAATTGCAATAAATGGTAACTCTGTGACATAATGCTACGCCTTCTGCTAAGCAATATAAATAATTAAGTAATTTAACAAGCAGAAGTTTGTGCGTCGCAATTATCAGTCTCACTGAACTTTTGCTATTAAGATCACTGGATCAGGATGCATTGTACTATATAATATGTTCAGTACTGAGAGCAATGAGATGATAGATATTGTAAACATAAAAACAATTTAAAACAGCAGCTATATGTATGATTGAACATTCTAAAGGAACAAACATCAATATGATAAACGAGAACACATTGTAAGAGTTTATGGTTACATAAGTTATTGTAACCTAAAATTTATCCCTCCAAATAAGTAATGCAGATTGTGCTTCAAAGAAGAAATCAGCTTAAGCAAAATCCACACTAGTCATTACTATTTTCAAGAGGAATCATTATTCACAATAAAATTATTTGACAACTTATAACAGGTTTCTTCAATTCCTTCCCACAAAACACTGCTTTGTAGAAATAAATTGACCTACCTCCATGGCAACTCATTGAATTTGGTTACACCTATTGATGAAACAAGAACTACTCTCTTTACTGATCGAGGAAGTGCTGATATAAGGTTTCTCACACCCTCCCAATCTACAATTACAAGGGCATAGTCAGAAAGTGCTGACTGCTGAGAAGCATAGGCATGATTGATGTGAGAAGTGTGCTTAAGCATATCTGTTCATGTGCAACTATCTTCTGGAAAAATAGAACTAACAATGCGGTATGATGTTACTTTGATTTCAACAATGTTGTGGAAAAAGAAGTAGAGATTTACTTAAGATCTGTAGTTTTAGGTTTTTAGCCAAACCACAACTCCACATAACATTAAAATGTAACATCTGAAATCTGATACTAACAGTTAGCATAATCTAACCTACTCTTTCAGGAGTGTTATCCCCATCCCATCGCCTGGAAGGAAAGGCTGTTGTTCCTGTGCAACAAATCACATGTGTGACACCCTGCAGATGATTATCAAATAAAATAAAACAGAGATTTAAATTTTTAAACAATTTATACTACCAAAAAGTTCGGCTTTAATTTGTTTTTAATATGAAACAACAATCACACCAATTAATAGACAGTTACTTCTACAAAAAATAAATTATTATTATAAAAAATCAAAACTAAAAACTAAAAACCAAAACAAAACCATTACAACCCAAAAAGAGGACTACTTATTTTATTCCAATCTAACTCAAGAAGGAAACTGATAAAAATTTATAAATTTGCAAGTTACGAAGTTAAATAGCAAAAGTAAAACTCTGAACTCCCTCATGATAGGTGGAAAGATGCATGTCCTAGATTATTTATAGTCTGATCAAAAAGCCCATGGAAGAACTTTTATAGTGAGTAAAAACTAAAGTTCATGGTGATATTAGAGGAAGCGAACTGATAAGCCTGGGATCATAGCCCAACATTGACCTTGTTGGGGGTGTAAGAACAACGCCTATTATTTAAGATTACAGCCTTCGATGAGATTTATGTTGTGATATTGGAAGCCACCATATGAATTTTCTTCTACTGTTTTTCATTGTAGTGATTTTTCTCTTCAACTCCTGAATTTTTTTTATTTTTTATTTTTTGGCAAGGATATTTCATCTAGAACTTGTGAGTTATCAAGATTTCTTTTCTTTAATTTTACATTCCTCCTTTATCTCACATTTCATAACAACTGGTAATAATAAAGAAGCCAAAAGGTAAATCCATCTCAAAGACTGAAAAACTCAATTGAGGCTTGAAAAGTTCTCCCATTTCTCTCCTTTCAAGTCCTGCACATAAAGAAACTATTAGTTGAGCTAACCCAACCCACCACCACACCATTGCCAAACTCCAATGTCAACTGTCACCTCGCTTCTCCCACTCGCCTATACTCTCTCCTGAGGATATCTCCTCTACATGAGTAAAGAGGCAATCTTCCCTCCCTTAACGACCTCTCTCTCTACCTCTTTTATTTCTCTTAGACAAGAGGAATGAGCTACTTTTCACTATGCATGAGGAAGAATGATTCATCCTACGCCAAAAGATGCTTCCTCATGAGAGGAGCCGAGGGAGAAGTGAACTAAAAGTAAACTTTCATGCAAGGTTAGTACAGTAATATAAAAGGATCCCGAGTGAATAAAAACTGATAATTTTATGTGGTGCAGACCTGTGCCAAAGCATTGGGGTGCCCAACAATAATCAAATGAATTCAGAAGTTTCCTTCAATTAAAGCATTAGCAGAGAATTTGAAACAAAATATAACTGTGATAAACTGATAATGCATCTAATCTAGATCACAGACCTCAAATATAGATGGATCAAGATCTTCTGGGTTCCTTGTATCCCCTTTGCGTACCTGTCAAAGTTAAAACTCTCTGTAACGACAAAGTATACCTGAGAATATGGTGATTGACATTGAAGCCAATCGACCAAGCACAACAATCCGTTCTCTTGTTTAGCAACAAGGACCTAAAAGCACCTATTCCTCTCCATATGCTACACACAACCGAATGAAATAGACCATGAAACCGTAAGCTTCATGCCACGACCTTGCATAACTAAGACAGACCATGGTACCTGTAACAAATCTTCATCTTGTTCACCAAACAATGTATTTGCTTTCTCCGGGTCTCGCAGTAACAGCCGTAATTTGACATTTCGGTCAAGCAAAGATGCTGCCACCAACTGTCCTATAAAAGAAAGTGAAAACATCAAACCGAGAAAACAAATCACCGAGTGGACAGAAGAATTCCTCCACCTCGCAATCCCAACATGAAATAAATCGTTAAATTGAGAGCTCTGAACTTCACAAGAATTACAGCAGTACCGTTTCCTTGAAGAACTAACAAGAACTGCAATCAATAGCTCAAAATACACTCAATTTCAAGGGAGATTCACGATGAGATTCACATAGATTGTACGGAAAGATGCAAAGGAAAATATAGATAGAACCTACCGACACCGCCGGAGCCGCCGACGACGAGGACGAGTTTGGAAGATGCAAGGGGACTAGATTTCGACTCGCGGATCGAATCTGAACTTGGAGACTGAACAACTTGCTGATTGATTGCACGAATAGGTGGTGAGCGTCCTCTGCAGCCTTTGCGGAACTGATTCTCGGAAGATGAACACGGCGGCGGAAGGCCAACGAGAGGTGGCTTTTGAGTACGAAACGGTTTCTGGAAATTAAGCGGTGGAAGAGGAAACTCGGGAATGAATGAGAAGGAGAGCTTGGTAGCCATAGATGAAATGCGATGAGAGACCAGAACAGAAACTGCAAGGGAAATAGTGATGAAGAAACTGATTACAGAAAATGATTTGCAATGTCTGAAACCTTTATTCTACAGAAATTGCATGGATGATTTGTGTTCTGAAATTGATTGCAATTGCAAGTGAACTAGATAAATACAAACAAAAAAGACCTTCACATTGTAACAATAAGTTCTAAAAAAATAAATTTGAGCATAGTTTAACAGACGAGACGTAAATAATTGTAAAGGGTTAAAACGATCTCATTTAAGAGTATATAGGAAGAAGTTGTGCCATGAAAGGTTGAATCTTGTGATTAGTTGGACCGGTTAAGTGGGACAAAGTTATATGACTACATTGCGATCTAGGGAAATCTCGAAAGTGGAATGTTCGAGTAATGGCATGTTTAATCTAAACTTAATTAGATACATTAAGGTATGTTCATGCCTACGAAATGTGAAGGTTAAAAAACGTGATTGGTACTTAATTATAACATCATCTAGTCATATTAAATATCTATTCTACCCCTTTAAACTTATATTTGAATTTTTAACTAAATTAAAAAAAGTAAAACTAAATTAAATTTTTGAAAAAATAAAATTTTAAACTATTTTTTAATTTAATTTATAATATAACCTTATTTAATATATATATTTTTTCCTTTGTTAGAGGGGAAAAAACGTATAGCCACAGAGAGGTATTGGAAAATGGGTGATTTGTGGTTTAATTTGAAGTAACTTTCGGTGGCTACAATGATTCCACGTGGCTGGTTAGAATAAATTTTTTAATTTTTTTTCCACAAATTTGACCTAGATTTTGAAAACAAACAATTCGTGGGGTGTACCATAATTGAATGGAATATTATAATTGAGTAAAATAACAGTTGATCAGAATATTATTAAAAAAAAATAACTGAACAGTATTGTTATATACATTACATTTAGTAAATGAATTCAATTCAACTCCGGCAGTCGTAGTTTTATTGTGAAACAATTGCCACGGAGAATCACAAAAGATTTTGGAGAATCAGTTTTGGTTTGGCAACGAAGATCTTTTCGCTTTTTCAACGGCAACCGGAGTTCCTCGTGCTCCTGCAAATCGACGGCGGTTTGGCTCTGTTCATGTTCATCACATTCACGGCACCGTTTCTCCCGGCGGAGGCCGGTGGTTTCCGTAATCGGAGATAAATTCTGGCCACATTGATGAACATTGTAATGTTCATAAGGAAGAAGGAGCGCCGGAGAATGCATTTTGAAAATTGATCGTATTCAGTACTCACTATTCAATGTCTTGTTTTTGCTCTGTGAATCGGAGCACTGAAGTTATAATAGGGGGAGAAAACGAAAGCGATGAGGAATTGGAATTCGATTATTAGAAGGTTTACGGATTTATCTTTTTTATTTATTTCTTTTTTTAGTTCTAAGGGATTTCGGATTCGCTTATAAATTATAGGGATGGGCGGTAAATGGATTTTTTTTTAAATAATGTTTTTAATTAAACTTATTTTTAAAATAATGCTAATTTATTAGAAAAAATGGAAAATATATAATTTTAGAAACTTATTCCAAAAATATTGTTGTTGTAAAAAATACAATATTTTTGGAATAAGTTTCCAAAATTGCGTTTTTTCCATTTTTTCTAATAAATCTGCATCATTTTAAAAATAAGTTTAATTAAAAACAATATTAAAAAAAATCCAGCGGTAAATTGCTCGTTTATTACGTCATATATACATAATATTTTTATATATATATATATATATATATAAATTATCAATTTATCACTTCTCCACTTGTGTACTTTTTTACTTTTGTTTCTTTTTATACTTTCGACTTTTATACTTAAATGTCTCTTTTGTATTCGTACTTTTTTTAAATTACTATTTTTGTTTCTTAATTTTCATTTTTTATTTCATTTCTTTTTATTTTAAAAAAATGTTTCAAGAAGTCCGGTAAATAATAAGAGTCGTAGCTTCAGAACTACTATTTTGGTCAAAATATGACTTAGGTTATTTTTGTATTTATTTTAGAATATAATATTACAAATATGAGGTCAGAATTTAAACTTTTGATTAGTGGGAGAGGTTAGAAATGTTGAAACTCATTTCTTACCTAAAAAGAGTGAATGAATTCATTGGAGGAGTCTCGCTCGCTTCAAATATCCTTACCATTTTTTGCAAACGTTTTTATCATAATGAACATGCATACATCTGTAGTCAACCAAACTAACGAGAAAGTTTTCACATATTTTACATGATCGAGACGAAGCAACAAAAAGTTATTTATTTATATTTTACTCTCCAAGCTAACTATCATATTCAGACATGTGGATTTTTGTTTTAAACTTATGTTTCTTTAGTCTAACTTTGATTTAGTCTTATACTTTAAAATTAGTTACACTTTAGTCTCTGTCGTTAAATATTAGGTTGAGATGAATGGACTAGTTCAACTTCAATTCGGTTTGGTTCAAATACAATTTCAAAATTCTAAGGTTTTGTTTTCTTCTTCATCGCGAAATGTTCGGCGACGTCGCCGCCGTCCCAACCAAGACCACACGTGTTCCTCTTTGAAAAAGTTTAGTTCTTCTTTTTTTAAGCCTAAACCATTCTAAATTTAAACATGCCATATGACCCTTTAATTATTAAACATGAATTTATATACTTAAATCTCAACGTATATTTAACGGCAGGAACTAAATAATCATGAAACAATTTAAAATGTAGAGACTAAATTGTAACAGGTACTAAATCATTATTTTTTAACCTTTATTATATTTTAGTCTTCACTACGATTCTTAATTATATAAAAGTATAAACATTACTTAACTTTACAAATAATGAATTATAATATAATTAAGCTACCATTAAAATTTCATTTATTAATTTAAACAAACTTCTATAAGTTTCCATGATTTCCACCGTTTTCTTGAAATTTCTGTCAATATCAAAATGTATTCCATAAAATTGCAACATGTCATTTCTTCAGTATATCAACATTTTAAACCTTGATTTACTATTTCTCTAACTTCTCTCTCTCTGTTTTTTTTTTTTTTTAAGATCTCAAGCTGCAATTCTACTACTTCTATGACTTCTCTTGATCTTTTTCTTAAATCTCATTTTGGGGAAAAGAAATTTGCTCGAATTTCTTTCATTGTCGTTGAACTGTGAATTGAACTATGATTCCTCCGATTAATCAAATATTTTCTGTAGCAATGCCAATTTGTGACGACATTAATAAGGTGCGTCATTTTAAATCGATTAATAACTGTCAATCTAAGTAGAACTCTATGGATTAAAGTATATATCTTCATTAGATTCAAATTTCCGACTCTTACATATCATTAAACTAAAAAAAAGGATCAATTTCTAGTTTGTAATATTAGATCAAATCACTATAACTTTTGTTGCTGATGCTCTAATTTGTTAGAACTTAAATTCAAGTTATTTAGGTTTTTGTAAAACTTGATAGAATTAATTTAGTAAATTGCTGAGACACAAAAAGAAAGCAGGTAAAATATTAGACTAACAAGGTAGGTGAAAGGATATACATATTAGCAGATAAATGACGATGAAAAATTATAAATGACAGTCTCCCTCTCTTAAAGTCAAAAGTTCAAATCTAATTAATACTTCACATTTCTTGTTTTAAACAATAATACCACACATTAGATATTCACCTTTTTGCCCAAAAGAGAAGATAAAGGTGAAATGAGAGGAAAACAATGTGGTTAGGATTCTGAACACATAAACTCTAATTTACAAAAATGCATTGACAAGTAGGTGTGGCTTACAGGGAATTTGCATAAAATTGACTAAACTGCCACTGAGAATATATATAAAAATTTGCATAGAACTAATCTTAAAAAGATATCTAAATAAATAACACTAGTAGAAATTCGGTTTATTCTTTCATGACGTTTTTGACGCAGTCATGTATACGTCCATCATGAAAGGTATACGTGACGTTTAAAAAACGTCACAAAAATTAGCACACGTGACGGTTAAAGACGGTCATGCAAAAATTAGCGATGAAAGATCATGCGACATCCTTTCGTGATGTTTCACGAAAAAAATATTTCATGACATTCAATAATCGTCTTAGAAACATTTTTGTGACATTTTAAAAACGTCACGAATGGTTTTATTTTGTGACGATAAAAAAAATCACAAAAAATGTATTTGGTTTCGCTTGCAAATGTCGCATAATAGAAATATCATATAATGAAATTTTCAATCGAACACGTAAATATATTAATTTAGATAACAAAGATGAAATATATTAAACATGAACAAGGAAGCTAATATATTAATTTTGAATATATTAGTATTCTCTGACTTGCTAGTACATTATATTAAACATGTCCAAATTCCTACAAACACAAATTACATAATTAAACAAGTCTCACACACCAACCCCAACAAGGAAGCTCATCCATCAATTAGTTGCATTCCTAATTGTCGACTTCTTTGGGTTCGTGAAATACCTAATGAAAAAACAATACTCAGGTTAGATAAATGAATAACGAAAGATAGATAAGGGAAGAAAGTCACTTCTAAAAGAACGTGTCTATCTATTACAAATTACAAAGGATCGTAATCTTTGCAAATAACATTATTAAATAAACGACATACCTACCATTTGTCTACATCTTTAAATTAGATAGCACAAAATATCAATACAATCATAAGGTTTGTAAATGTACAATCATCCTGTAACGAAAGTATCAATATTAAGCATTCATAAAACTCTTATGTACTTACACAATAATATGATACAATAACCAACAAAATGACCAAACCAAGTTCCAAATAGAACAAAAGGAGGTTACAATAATAAAAGAACCGAACACTTCTTCTATATATCCTTCAGCAACATAGCACAAAATATATTTAAACAATATAGCACAAACTAGCTAGTATATATATTAGAAGGAGTGTAAACGTACATTCATCGTCTAATGACAGTATCTATAATCAATATTCAGTCTTCCTTGTAAACTTAGTCAATAATCTAATAAAGGTGCTAAATTAGTTATAGTTACAGCACATAACAAGTTCGATTCAGAAAGATTTAAGATTCAAATGCTATAGTATGAATGATGATGAAAAGCAAGTTAGCTTACCTTTGTTATAATGGAACTTTAATGGAGATGGCCACAACATGCTTAAGCTCACCTGGACGCAGTCCGACAAAAAAAAAATGTCCTTACAACTTCTCGTTCCAGTGCGAAACTTGCTCCTGTCATATAAACCAATAATAAGCAAGTTAGGAGGGGCTTTATCAGGAGAAGGAGCTTTATCAGGAGAAGGGACTTTATCAAAAAATTTGACATAAACAATAACATTCAAACAAAATTTTAAGTAATGCAATATCACATATGCGTTGAGGTACGAACCCAACCAAATTTTAAAAAATGCAGTACCACATAATCGGCACACTCATCCCGTGCCTAGTCACTCGAACTCTCTATAGAGCTTTTTTGAACTGAACTGCAAGAAAAAAAAAGTGATAAATAATATTAGTATTTTAAATATAGAAAGTATTCAACATAATTAGAAAATGTCATAACAAAGATTAAAAGCTTTGCTATTGATATGTCCAAATAAAGAGAGAAAAAAGTATAAGCTTTAGTGGGTGTTGTGCAGTTGGAGTTTGTCGACGAAATTCTCCAAGGGTGTTAGCTAAGAAAAAAATTTATAGGTGCACAAGTTATATAATGATTGGAACCTTCACTGTAATTCTGCTATAAAACTTGATTCCCAACCTAAAACAAAGAAAACAAGCAAATAAAGATATGCATTTGAAATTAGATATTTTCAAAGAACAACGGACAGATAACAACTTAAATACTTTAAATCTCCTTTATTAAGTATAACCAAAATCAGTTCACAAAATAATTTGAAATTCTCTACAACCCACTTAAAATCAACACTCAAGAAAATTAAAAAACACAATAGTTAGCATCACCTTAGTTGTGACAATGGGTAGATACAAAAGAGTAATCCTATGCAAGATACTTTCCAGAGAAAGATAAAAAGAGACCTATAGGAATAAGTGGCTTTCTTCGGCATAGATAATGAAATCTATTGTGCTAGGCACGGATGCCTTTCTTCATCATAGATACAATGAAGCACAAAAACTCCACAGTTTAAAGAATACTTAATTTCTTCTAGCCGTATGTACAAACAACAAGTATGCAATTTCCTACTTTTTCTTATCTATTTGGCCTTTCAGAAAGTGGCTTAGCAAAAAATATTTTCTGCATTTAAGGCTATCATTCGCTTGTTTAGAATCATGTAGAATAAGATAGCAAATTAAACAATGGGATATAACTTACTATTTGCAGAGTGGATAACGAAGCAAATGCAGTGGAAAAATTATTAAAGAATCCAATTGAAAGAAAATAGAAGAAGATGTACCCATCTAAGAAGAACAAATTCCCAAGGGCAGGGAATTATCCGTCAAATTGGAAAAGTTAGCACCGGAATCATCATAGAGTAAGCCTTTTGTATCCTACTTTAGTTTGCCCATAGTCGAATTCCAATGTAGAAGAACAAGCAACAAGAACGAAATAGGAGATCGATGACCTATACTCATAATCAATTTAGAAGAGAAATAAAATTCTTTCCAAAAGGTATCACATGCTAAAATCCTTAATGAGAGGCTATATTTGGTTATTTAAAAAATGCAACCGACACAAACAATGACATTCACGGTCAGGCATCCACTTCCATTTATCACAAAAGGCAACAAATATATCAATAATGACAGTAATGCATCAATCTCTGCGTACCAAGCTCATTAGAAGGAGGAAAGATAACTCAGACAAAAACTTGTGATTGAATAGTAAAAGTAATATATACTCTAGAGCATTTAGAATAAGGAAAATTAAAAGCACCAAGCAACTCTTGCACTAGAAGTGCAAGATCAGCCCAGAACAATAAATAAACATTGAGAATTTTGGTTCATGGATATGCATAAAGCCTAACCATTTACATTATAATAACCACACTACAGCATAAAAATTAGATTAAGTGTCTTTTTCTTTCACTATTCATTATGTTCTTGATGAAAACCAAAAACTCAATTCTATAAGCGCCATTTTTCTTAGAAATTGTAACCAGATCAGAGAAAATCAACTTCATAAAATAAATTGCAATGAAAATAGAAGATTCAAAGTGAGGAGTGAGTTGCATTTATGTATTCAAGCAAGTCGAACAAATAAAACAAAAAGAATTAATTAAAATCAATTGGTTGCAGAGTTGTACAAGCAGAAGTGGGTTTTGGAGAACATAAAATCGCAGGAGATCGAAAAAGAGAAAAAGAGGGAGGGAGATTTTGTCGAGGGCTTTGGTTTGATTTGTTTTTAAGGAAGAACGAAAAAGAAAAATAGAAGTTGAGAGCGGGGAAACTTACGAAATATTGGACTCCCAGTAGCAGGTCCTTCGGTAAAAACTGACGCCAATGAGATTGGGTCTACAGTGGCTCTTCTAATAGGGTGAAAAAATGGCTAAATGAGTGGAGGCAAAGACAAGTAAAGGCTAAAACGATAAGCGCGATAAAACGAACTGAGCAGCAAAGCCGAGCGGCACAAATGGAGAGGCTGAAGCGAAACTGTTCGGTTGTGCCCGCAACTCAATGGAGAACAGGTCGTCGTCGCAGAAAACGAACACCGCACACTGGAAATCGAAGGAAACGCCCTAGTTCTCAGGTTGCACTGCCGTCGACCGCCACTGGAATGATACGCCGCCTCTAATCGCGCCGCTCGTGTTTTCGTGTCCTGCCACTGGAGGTCTGAGACTGCTGAAGAGTGGGTGAGGTTGGACGGAAAAATGGGAGGGAGAGGAGAAGTTACGAAGAAGAGAAGATGGTGGAAATTTGAATTTGTGACCCCTTCAGTAACTGAATAAATGAACCAATTTTCAAAAAACCTAATTTGTGACCCCTCCATCCCTTATTTATGATCCCTTAAATATTTTATTCACGGGAAAAGATCAATTTACCCTCCTTGTTAATAAATAAATGTGCATTTATGATTTCCACCTAACCATTTCACCAAACTGTAAACTCATATTTTACATATGTTTGAACTTGTTAATATTTTAGATTATGAAAAACTCACAGATCAAGTTTTCAAAATCCGCTCAAAGCATCAACGTGTTTGATTTTTCTTTGTCCCCACACTATCCAAAATCATTGTCCCCACAATTTCACTTCTGAAAGCTAGGTATGTTACCTTTACACAAACTTTTGTACTCTACAATTGTTGAACTTTATTGAAATATTTTCCCATTAATGGGTTCAACTACTAGATTTGGTTGTTGACAAGGAAAAAAATCAGATTGTTGTAATTACTTCAATCCCGGATCTATACCTGGTCCGGGATTGAATGTAAACAATCCCGGTGCATCACGTATCGGGACTGTCTCGGATATATCTCGGACCTGTCTTGGTTCGAGACATGTCCTGGACTAATCTCGAAGCATATTTAGTCCGGGACATGTCTTGGACCAGTCTTGCTTCGAGATTTGTCCGGGACATGTCTCGGACCAAGACTGGTCCAAGATTTATCCGACACATTTATTTTTTTTATTTTCTTAATTTTTAATATTTTATTTTTAAATGATCGATTTTCCTATCTCACTTAATTTTATTTATTTGCAAGATGCCTCGTGTTTTCATAACATTCAGTGGAGAATGGAATGATAGTGAAAAAGATTATGTCGGCGGTCGTACGAGGGGATTGACATTGGATAGTACAATCACATACAGAGAATTTCTAGGTCACGTGTATAGATTGAGTAACATTAATCCCCTACAGTTTGATATTATAATTAGACGCGTGTATCATTTTAAAACCAAAATTTGTGTGATGGAAATAACTGATGACGATGACTTGCGTTTTTTTTTACTGGTGAGGATGTATCTGAATTGCCTATATATATATCTAATGTGCCAAAGCAGGTACATGAGAATGAAACGTACATGCCTTCTTTCCCATATTATGTAGGCCAAAACGTGTCCTCGATTCCTATGTCCGCAGCTTGTATTCCCCCATTCCAGAAACCCACATATCCTATACCCTCATTTCCTTCCTCATCATCGAACCCCTCTTCTTCCCGACAGCCACACACGTCCTACGGGCATATAGGTCATGATGTAGAGGGTTTAACACCATTGGCGTCAGATGTTGTTCCATGTAATCTGGGAGATGACAGGGTGTGTGATTGGGATGTGCCGGGAGTATGGAATGATAACGAAGCTGAAAGTGGTGAATCATATGACCCGTTGGCAGAGTCTGAAGAAGGACACTCTCAAGCAAAATATGGGAACGAAGAGCATGACGATGCGCTTGATGATGAGCTTGAGCCTGATGTGGAACATGTGCACACTGAGATTCGCAGGGATGAAGAAACAGTCCTGCCACCGGGATGTAATGGTCTCACCGGACACCCTAATGATGAGAAATTGCAACTCATAGTACAGTCTTCTGGGACAAATGATGTTAATGAGGGCG